CTACACGCGGCTGGTTCGCGTATGGACATTGATGAAACTGCAGGATCTTCTAGATTCGGGTTGAGCGGAGCTGGCGCGAGACATGCGAAGCGCATCCTGGGAAAGAAATCCTAGTAGTAGCGTTGTCACTGACTACAAGAGATGAACAAGTGCGAGTTAACAGTAGACCTGTAATGGTCATTACGAGCTCATGATGTATCTTCTTCCGAATGGTTTACTCCTCCGCATAGAGCCATCATGCCAAGGCTACTTACGAAATGCAATATCAGCATTTGATCGAGGTTTATTTGCCATTAAGATTGCATTATTATAGCAGATTAGCGGACCAATGCCTGAACACCAAAAGTTTCACCGGCAGTCATTGAATTTGAACATCATGCAGGATAGACAGAAATGGGTATTGTAAGAAGATAAAGAGGTCAAGAAGCAATCAAGAAGGAAACATTCACAAGACGAAGCGACTAGGAAAGTCTGTTGTGGCTAAAGGGACCAGTACGGCGTGGCCTTGAGCCAAATGACACGGCGTCAGCCAGAAGGATGTACCGCGTTTTGCTCGAATCGTTCCAGGCGTGAGGAAGGGCTCAACGGAGCGCAACGAGGATGAGGATATCMTAAAGTCTCGGTTTCGAGAACAAACCGATACGGAACAGCTGCTTTTCCAGGCCGAAAAAGAAGGCCTGCACTGCCCTGTTGGTCCCGCGTAGGACAGCTGGGTTCACATGGCATGACCATAGTCGCCAGAGTTTTCCAATGGATCAGAGAGCCGTCCGTAGGCGAGGCCTGGGAGAGCGGACGTCTGCCTACCAGCCTGAAAATGACCAAATCATAGCATAGTACCAGGAACAAAAATAAACAGAATGCTCAGTGCGGCAGCGACCAGTAGGGCAATGAATAAAGTTGCAGTGGCTCGTTTATTCAGGAGCTTACGAACATAAGGCTCGCGGATTTGAGCCCAGTTCATGAATGTGTATTCACTGTACCCCAAATACGCCATTACCGGATCGATCTTGTACTGGTACGAAGCTATGAAATATGCAGCCACAATGAAAGGCAAAATCACCTTGTCCGTCATTAGCAAAAGCGCGCAAACAGAAAAGAGGGACTTACCCAGCAACGAATATGCCGCGGCTTGTCTCGTAGGACAACATAGAAGGCGCCCCAGAAACCACCGCCAAAGCTAATCAAAGCCAAAGCCAAGCGAGTCACAACGGTCAATGGCACAAGATTACCCAAGGCTTTTGCCTGCAAAAACCCAGGGTATGCGTCGCGTTCCATTGCTTGGAAGACATAGTCTTTGGCCTGGTCGAACACTTCTGGGTCGTCTCTCCCGTCATCCTCAATCAGATTGATTATCGTTGATACCATTTCCTCCGGAAGAACGATCTCTCTTTCAGCACCGGGTAGTAAATACGTGTAGAGAATCTTCTCAGCAGACGCGCGAATATCGTGTCGCGTCACTGTATGGCCAGGCGAATTCGATTCGTTCTGTGTCCCAGAGCTTGGACGAGGCTGCTGTTCATTGGAAGGAAGGCGAGCAGCGTTCTGTGACCCGAGGCTACTCTGCGGTGAATGCTGGGATGTGTGGCCATCTGAGCGAAGGAAGGCCGACAGCCTTTGATCGGCGTCCTTGTCGTCGTAATCACGAAAGCCCCGGCGCAAGCCAGAGGGACCGGCTTCTGTAAGCGGGATATCGCCAAGATGTTCCAAGTTATCCAAAGCGGCGGATGAGCCTTTACTGTCTGATTTTTCAAGATCAGGCGTCGCAACTAAGACAGACCGACGCAGTTCGCGGACATAATGGCGACATAGCGACATATGTTGTGATACATCGAGCCTATTTCACTTCGAGGTCAGAACTTTCCCGTGATTCATGCGCCGCGGCACTCAAGCAGAGATCTTGCGCATACCAGAAATCCAAGTAATCGACCGAGCGCTGTTGGTCGCGCATGTATATGTAGAAAGAGAATAGATCGACAGGAGCCAAAGTGCGACGACTCAGGACCTCAAACAGAGTTGGGAGCCGATTCCTCGGCTCCATGTCCAAAAGTGATGGCGACGCCATTGTAAGGGAGGGCGATAGACAACCAACAAGGCAAATCCAATAAGTGATCCAAAGGAGCGAAAATTGGCGTGAGATCAATAGCGAAAAAGTCGGAAATGATGGAGGATATCGAGTTGGTCCAAGAATAGGAGTGGCCCGTGTTTACTGTTCCACCAACGTCTCAATAATAATAAGATGGCCAGCTCACGATTAAAGATCGCAAAGAATTAGAAGATTAACGAATGACTGGAGGTAATTTAGTCCCAATTAAGACATTAGAGCAATGAACGATAGAGATTCGCGAGTCTAGGACTTTCAGGCTCAGGAGCCCCTGGAGAGAGCGCCCGAAGTGGGAAAAGACGGGTTAAAAGTAACAATCCTCCAGCCGCCCACTGGCAACAACAACGGACAATAAGGACAAGGAGGAACAGGGCACGCGGTGCGATATTATAATAATAATTATAACAGCAAACGAAGGACGGTGGATTGCCCCGACCACCTGCAGAGCAACTTTTTCTAGTAATTGTCTATCTCTTGTTGACCTGCCATCTTCATGATGCGCAGCCAACAAACGGCCCGCCGCAAAGTTATTCCGAAATGAAGGACCCACCATCTAATGATCATCAGCAGCTCACCACGTTCTCCACCGCTGGCAGAGATTACACGCAAGGGAGGGATGGACTATGATGTTAGAATCATCTGGTGGCTAGAGGCAAAGGGCAGCGACAAACTCACATGTTGTGATAGATCATTTCGCGTCTCAATGCAGCAGTTCGCTAAATTCTAAGCTCCCTTGCCGGCTTTGGCTGCTTTCCAGCCTTTCTTTTGGTCTCGGGGTGACTTACGAATAAAGCTTACAGCAGCGGTTTCCCGGGTAGAGAATGAGGAATGTACGAAGTGATGTTTGTGATATTGCCATATCATTTTGCTCAGTTACCGAACGCTAGAAATGGCCAAAAATGCTCCCCCATGCATCCATTGGGTATTTGTTCGTTGAATAGAAGAATAAACGCCAACCAAACCAAAACTCCATCGCTTCAATGTCAGGAAAGGATCGATCAACCATCAAATAAGTCAGTGCCCGTCGGCCAGATGCTGTGACAAAGTCAGCCGAGTTGCTCTTCCCTCTGGGAGGACTTTMCAAGAGAAGTACTTACCGACCACTCCGGGATGTTTCGAATCTGCTGCCACATAAACTTTTCCAATTTATTCGCGCTCTTCGCATATGGTGTATTCTCATTGTTGTATTTCCGGCAGTTGTCAAAGATCAACATGGCATCTTTGATGAAATCTTGCGGGGTCGGGTACATGTCCTTCTCATGCTTCTCTTCCATCGTCGATAAGTCCATTGGCTCTTTGATGACTTCGTAGTAATCAGGAACTTCATCGCGGTTGACAGGCTGAGTGAACGGCCACGCAGCACTGTGGTTCTGCATGTCATTGAGCAAGTGCAGGAGCTGATTGTAATTCGGTCCATGGCGCGGTTGCCGCGCCAATTCATCCATATCGGGTGACCATCCGGATTCCTTAATGGCTGGAATACTCAGAGGATCGATCTTGCAAGCTCCGTTCTTCCATTCCCTTGGCGGAGGGTGGATAATATGCGAACGGCTGAAAGCCCTGATTTTCGCTTGCACCGCTTCCTTCTGCTTCAGAAGCATGCGACCTGCTTCCAAGTATCGGATCTTGGGGAGCATGGTACATTGCATGATGGTTCCTCCCTCGTAATCCTTGATATAACCCATCCATATAGCCTTGTCGAGCGTGATTTCCTTGGTGAATCCCTGCTTCTTGAAATAACCAATCGCATAGTTGTCCGCATAAGTCAGGAAATGCATAATGGGCGAGGTCGCTTTCACATAGTCCTGCTCTTACAGTTAGCTACCACTCCAGCTGTGGCTTTAAATCCCAGCCATACCTTCAAATGTGACATCAAATGCGCACCGTAACCCTTGACTTGCTGGTCGGAAGATATGGCACAGAAGACGATTTCCGCGAATCTGCGGCTATTGAACGGCCGGTAGGTGATTCCTCTAGACAACAATTGGTGAGCTCTTCAAGAAACTAACCAATGCCATTTCTCCCACACATACCCTACAACCTCTAATGGGTGCTTCACAATGGCGATAGACAAATGCGAACGATCGTAGACAAGTCGTGCGATGTAATCCTTAGGCATCTTTGGAAGTTGCTTCTGAAAGATGCACTTCAACCCAGTGAGAACGACGAAACTATCTCGCGAGCCATCATTATTGACCACTCGAAACTCGATTTCACCTCGTCGTTCTTCTAAAACAGCGGGCTATTGTGGGAGATCAACATCAACCTCCGCGTCGAATCAACATCCACTGGTGAAGCTTACCTTTTCTGGGAAGGGAACGATCCTCAATGGTGGCTTTCCAAGAGGTTCATCTTCGGTCTACAAACAAACACTGTCAGAACGGCAACCGGAACGAGTTCAAAGTGAAGCCAACCTTTAACTCTCTTTCAGGAGAGTCAGTGCGCGCCTTTTTAATCTGTTTCTGGGAATCCGGGGAAGCCGCATCTTCCGAAGCTTTCCGCTTGGAACCTGTATCTATGGTCAACCGAGTCTGAAAACCACAGAAACCAAAACACCCGGCTCGCGGACTCACTCTCTGATGTAAGTGCCGGCATATTGTGCTTGAGGTTTCTGTTATAAACTGTCTTCTTCAACCTCCTGTACCCAAGCGGCGCCGAATTGCGGTCTCCGCGTTATAGGCGGAGACGGGGGCCTAGGATCGGGACTACGTTGATCCGAGATTGATTGGGCCAGATCAACCATAAGCTACTTAGGCCTGACGCCTTGCCCTTATCTAGAAGCTCTGCGATGGCGGAGTAATGTAGACTAGTTGTTATTTTCCATTACAGACATCAATTGCTGTATAAGCTGTCTGATAATTGATTTTTGCTCGATTTGAAGTCTAACCAGCTTATCCTCATGTCTCTGAACGAAGTCTGGGAGGCAGCCTCCGCAAGCCCATACTCTCCCCTGATATCGAAAGATCACCAGTTCTTCGTTGGCTTTAGTCTGCTGCTGAGTGGTAAGAGATGTTATGGTCTCCACCAAGATTGACAGGGCTAATTGGCACCTAGCATTGGTTCTTACTGGTCTTTTTGGTCTGAGTATGTCTCATTCTGCGCATCCAAGTCAAACTGGGTTATAGCTCACCATTGCTCGCCAAATAGATCGCTCCTTCTTGAGCATCGCAACATTCGGGGTTCCCGCGTCATTGGCATTCGGGTAAGCTGCGACAGTTTCTGATTCGGAGCCATGCCCGTCGCTCACATTACACTTCTACAGATTCGGTGCCGTATACATGATCTGCGCCGTTGGTGTCTACGTTTGAGTGACTCGCATCCCGATTCTTCTATGTACTGTAAATCGGAAAGTTGAAAGACAAAAGACGTGTAACCAGGCGAGAGCTGTTTTACTAGACACGCCTTTACAAGCCCACCAGCCTATTCCATAATCAATCTTTCCGAGCTCATTGTTCTATGCGTCTTTCTGGCTATCTGTACAGACAAGAGTCCTGGGGCCATGGCAAATACCGGCCCTATCTTTTCAGCTGTCTCCAGCAACGCTCACCAGCTCTATACTCTGCTGCAGTGCATTGGATTCGTCCCAAAAGCCACCGTGCAAATAACTCCAGACGGAATCCGGTTTTCGGCAGAGGAGACCAGAGTGATACAAGGACTTGCCTTTCTCGACAAAGCGCTCTTCACCAGTTATACCTTCAATCCCCCGACGACCCCAAGTAATGAGGCCAACGACGCAGACCACCATGACGACACCGCAGAGACCGCATACTACCCGTGTTTCGTTGTCTCACTGTCTGCCCTCTTGGAAACGCTGAAAATCTTTGGCATTAATGATGCGTCGTCTGGGAGCTTCAGCAGAGCAGCCAGCGTCCAACCGCCGAACCCTTCAGCATCAAGCGCATTCACATCTCCCGCACTTCTCCTCGACCGTTCCTGCACAATTCAGTACTCGCACGAAGGCGCTCCGCTGAGCATCACCCTCTCCGAAACAGGAGTCAAAACAACTTGCGATCTAACCACTTACGAACCAGAAGACACCGACACCGATATCCCTTTCCAGCGCGACGGCATAGTAATGAAAATCATCATGCGTTCCGCATGGTTACACAACGCCATCACAGAGCTCGGCGCAACTGATCCTACTGTCCTCAAACTCTCGGCCTCGGCGACACGAGAACCATTTTTCGCTTTGTCAGGCTCTGGTGGTCCCCTCAGCGAATCGACGGTTGAATTCTCGATTGAACACCAAAATCAAACCAATGTCCCGTCTCAAACCCATAAGGTACTCACTGATGATGGCTCGCGAGCGCGGGCGAAAAGGGCCAAACTCGCACCTACCGTCACGGAAACCTTTCTCGTCAGCCCGCCGTCGTCCATGGGCACTCGCATCAACCAGAATTATCGTTTCTCCATGATTCAAAAGGCAGCTCGCGCTATGGCAGTAGCCAATAAAGTGAGTATTCGAGGAGATAGACAAGGCGTTCTCAGTCTGCAGTTCATGATTGAGTTCGACAACAATGGGACTAGTGGCGCGCGGTCTTCAGGAGCAAGTACTGGGGGCACTGTGACTTTCGTGGACTTCCGTTTTGTACCATTACTAGACGAAGATGATGTTGATCTGGAAATGGATTAGGGGGTAGTGCCTCGACTTCGGCGGTATTTTTGGTCGAAGTTGGAAGGGAACGGTGTTTTGACAATTAAGACATCAATAAAAAATTCCGATTGCTTATGACTATTTCCCCTTCCCCAACGCCAGTAAAAATGCGATATGTAACACAAGATCACTTGGTCCCAGATAATAATATGCAATGAAAACAGACATTATCAATGCATGCCACCTGGTCGATGCGCTGGTCATCTTCCCTTGTTCAACGATAAAGTTGAAGTCGCTTTGTGGCATGAAGGAATTGTACGGGTTTTGGCAATAGATTACATGACCTACAACTCATTAGTATATAGGCGATTATGCTAGCAACGCAGATAATCATAACTCACCTCTGCAATGGATTGTCTCTCGATAATCGACTTCTGTTTCTCGTTGCGGGAGACTCGGTAATAGTAATCACTGAAGTCACCGCATTGCATATGCCGMAGGAACTCCTCATCGTGAGTAATCACAATAAGCTGAAAGTTTGCTTGCTGCTGACGCGCCCGAATGATGTCGTGAAGGGACTCAGCAAGAGAGCGAATATTGTCCCGGTCGAGGTTGGTCGTCGGTTCATCGAGTGCGATCAGGCCGCAGTTGACGCCGAAACACTCTGCCAGGGCCAACCGAATGATTATACTCGCGAGCACTTTCTGTCCTGCACTGCAGCGTCCTCGCATGTCCATCTCTGCGCCCGATTTGACCATGCAGACGCGGTAGTTGTAGGATCGGTTTCCTTTTGCATTTTCGTTGTCGGAGCGGATAAGGATTGTGTCAACGTCGGTGCCTCTGTATGTCTTTTGCCAGAGCTCTCCGATGATTGCATTGATCTCCTCCATCTTCAACGAATGATACTTCATGATGGCTTTGTCCAAAGCACCCCCGTACCGAGCTAAATCGTCAACAGCAGCCTTGGTAGTCTCCACCTTGATGTGCGCTTCCTTGTACTTGGAAGCGGCGTCTTTGTAGTCCGTGTTCCAATCCGCCAGAAGCTGCATCAGTTGATCATCCTTAGACTTCATCTCTCCCATCTTGCTCGCTTGCTTGGCAGCAAGCGCGTTGTGCTCGCGGGTTCGGCGCTCCGATTCCTCCTTGAAGCGGCTTCGGTCTACCTCTGCGTTCTGAGCTGCCAAATTCTCAATTTCTGCGGACACCTCTGCCAGCGCTCGAGTTGCCTGGCGGTATGTCAGGTTGTCGGAGTATTGGCGTTTCGTGTTCTCGCTGTCTTTCAGCTGAGCCGAGATCTTATTGATCTCTTTGGTAATATTGGCCTGTTCCGCTTCAAGCTGGCTGATTTCAGTCTCAATGGTTTGAAGCTCGCGTCTACTACGCTCCAACTGACTCGGTCCGCCTCGTTCATTGTAAGAATCAATCTCCTCTGTCGCCAGATCCAATTGGCGTATATTTTCCGACAGTTGAGATATTCCTTGCTGCATCTCCCTCTCCCGGGCCTCGACCCGCTGGCTGATATCGTCATATTGAGCTTGGTATTTGAGGAGCTCCGGTGTCAGCTCCTCAATGTCTTTGTCAGCCTTTGCGATTGCCTCCCGTTGCTGGTTGTTAAGGTTCCTATATTCCTCAATGCGAGCAAGCAAATCTGACTTTCTCTCTAGTTGGAACTTCGCATTATCAAGCTTGCTTCTGGCATCTCGGAGCTGCAACTCCAAGTTATTCATTTCAGTCCGTGTCTGCTCTCTGTCATTGGTGAGCTTGGACAGGGTCTTTTTCAGAGCTCTAGTCTTCTCGCCAATGCCGGCAATCTCCTCTTGGATATCTTCCAGAGTACGTGTAGCAATACTGTCCTGTTGATTGGCGGACAGATCCTGTATCTGGGACCGGATGGTCTTGATTTCGCTCTCGTATCGCACGATAGTATTGACAGTTTTCGATAAAGCGTCAATATCTCTCTTCTTTTCAACCTTCTCGCTGACGATCTTGTCATGATTCTCTAATTGGTCCAGGAGCTCATCCCGCTGATGAACATACTGGTCTTCTTCTTTCTCTAGATCCGGAATCTCGGTTTTGGAGAGCCGAATCCACGTATCGTAAGCTGTACTTACTGCACGGGCCGCGTCGAGTTCGGCTTCAAATCTTTCAACATCTTCTTCCTCCACACCAATCTGCGCTTTTTTCACCAATCCCTCTAGTCGTTTCTGGAACACGGTGAATTCTGCGTCGGCCCTGAACGCTCGTTGGCACAGTCTACAGGCTTTTACCTGCTTGGCTGTCTCCAGACAACGCATAAAGTAGTCGCCGAGTCCGGCGCTCTGCTCCGCATCCCTTCTAGCGACGTCGAGTTGCGCTTGTCGTTGTTTGAGCGCATCGGGATACTCTTCGGGTTCCTCGTTGATGGCTTCACGAATTTCTTTGGCGCAGCTATTGAGCTCTTTCTGTCGCTGAGACAGTGCCTTCTTGGCGGTCTTGAGCTTGAATTCGACCTGCTCCAACTCCCTGTTGACGCCGTCACGTTGGCTTTCGGCACTAGAGACGTTTCTGGTCTCCTCTTCAAGGACACGCTGAAACTCTTGCTCTAAAGTGGCTGGACCCCAGTTTGCACCAATGTACTTTGCAAGGCGTTCGCCATGTGCAGCTTTCATAGTCTCCAAGCTGCGTTCTCGTTCTTTGAGTTCCTTCTTGAGATGATCTAACCGGGCAAAATCCCCGGCTCGTTTTGTGGCCTCGATCAATTCAGCATTGAGGCGTGTGCCTTCATCCTCGAGAGTGTGGAGTTCTGAGTTCACCTCCTGAATCTCTTGGTCCAGTGTAGCCGATCGAGCACGATCTTTGGCGTCGTTCAGACGAGATGTAATGTCCTCAATGTTTGCTTCAACTGCAGCTTGGACACCCTCGTCAACGTCAATTTCGTTGAGCTTCGCTTGATAATTGGAGGCCTCCTTGTCATTTGCAGCAATTTGACGCTTGGCTGCATTCTTACTTTCCTGCAATGCAGACTTCCGCTGCCCGATCTCATTTAGAGTAGACTGTACTTCGCGTAGCTCAGTTTGCGCCTCACGCTTAACGCGCTCCAGCGCTTGGTTTTGCTCCTTCAACAGCTTTCGAATCTTTCGCATGAAGTCGTCAATATCTGATTGATCCTGGATATTATCAAAGCCTCTGATGTTATGACTGCGAGCAATCTCCCTTGTCATCCTCTGTCTTCTTTCTACCTGGCGCTCGAAGTTGGCTTTGTCATTTTCGTATTTTCCGTACTCGGCTTGTTTGACTCCCAGCTTCTGACGGGCTTGCTCAATCTGGTCCTTGATCTCCATGTAATTCTCCTTCTGAGCTTCCTCTTGTTGTTGGTATTGAAGTTGTTTGGACTCAAACTGCTCTAGATTCGATTGCAGCCACTCATCCGGATCATCAAGCTCAACCAAGTGCCGTTTGAGATTGTCAATTGTCGATTGCAAACTCTTTGCCTCGATACGCTTTCCTTCCAAAGTCCCTAAAATCTGAGCATAGCTCTCAGACTCTTTCCAAGCTTTGTCGGCTAGTTCCGCAACACGGCGCATCTCTTGGGAGAGCTGATGGGTTTCAGCACGGAGCGCCTCAATCTCGTCCTGCAGCTTGATGGATCTTTTCTCTGCACGATCAGCCTTTTCTTTGTCTTCTTTGGCATGCTGTTCCATGATTTTATATTTTGCCAGCTCCTCATTCTGCTTCTTCCGGAGGGCTTTGATATTGTCGATGGCTTTCGTATATTTCATAGCTTCGAAAATCTCATCAAATTTCTTCTTGAGCACGGAGGGTTCGCTCATGGGCCAGAGACTCTCATCCTGGTGGCAGAAAATGACGGAATCTAAGACAGCTCTCGAAACGCCAAGATATTGAGGCATGATTTGGTCCAGCTCTGCTACTCGGGATGAGATAGCTGTTCTTTCACCATCCTTGACCATGAGGAGCTGTCCCTCGAGGGTTTTTTGTTGTCTAGTTGTTTTCTTCACTGTAAGTTGTAGACTCCGTGTAGCAACCATCTTCGCTCCGGATGTACTCTTGAAGGATAATTTCACTTGGGCTAGGACTTCTTTCTCTCCGCAAAGCTGCGCAATAATTTAGTAACATTTCAGTAATAGGAGAGAGCTCCAAGTTTACCTTGGGGTCATGGATGAAAGCACCGCCCTTACTGTTTGGTGGAAGATCGCCGGTTGTAGCATATTTGAGGCATTCAATGATTGTCTGTATTCCCATTTAGCATGAATGATATTCATAAGCCGTCCGCTTATTGAAGCCCTACCGTCTTCCCTGAGCCATTATAACCGACGATCAATGTAAGAGGTGTGTGAAATTGGATGGTCTCACTGCGGGTGTTGTCGAATGAACGAACACTGAGAAAGAATCACGAATCAGTATACAAATCAAAATCCTGCGCGTATTTCCGTATGAATGCACGCACCCAAGAATTGATAGCTTGTCTATCTTCGCTATAGTTGGAGCAAAGCGTCAGTCTTGTGCTTCGTCATCGAGCTCCGCATCACTTACACCTGCCAAGCTTATCAGTCTTCGATGTTATTTTGTTGTGAAGCGCGCAGACTCACATTTTGAAATCAAGCACTACAGCGCTACCCACCAGACTCTAAAGGTCTTTAAAGGATGTCAAGCCACTATCTGTCCCAACACTGCCGGTGCATCCCAAGTCTAATCGAAGCTCGTTATCAATATCGCCGCTTCTGCCTGCGCGTCACAGACGCGGAAAGGAAGCGCGAAGTCACGTGATATGCAACAAATGGCTTTATGAGCTTGAAAGAGCCCTTAGTACGTTGCAACGTTATCTTTATTATTCTCTACAAGATAGCGTGCTCAACATGAATGGCATTTGTTTGCTTTGGGGCTACGGCTGAGTAGATTTTGTACAGCGCCTAACATGTGCTAGTTGAGAAGAGGGAAGTCGGCGCAAGGCGAAGGGCAGCAGCCCCTTCAATGTGATTGCTGTGGATGAGGCTACGCGCCCGACTGAACCTGAACTCTGGCCCATGCTGCCTGGTTTGAAC